TACAGAATTGCTCTGGATGGCACCTGCAAGTCAGATGACTAGTTAGACCCTGACTTTTGCCCACCCAGAAAGGCTGAGGTGATCTAGAAGGCCCCTCAGGCACAAAGTCAAAAGGACCACAGTTACTGTCTGTTCAGACTTGTCCTAGAAGGCCCTGAAGTTCTAAATCATTAGTTCCCAGTTCTTCTGGGTTTGTTTCCTTTTCAGATCCCCCATCATCTTCAGGCCTCTGAGCGTCATCCCTCTGCTGCCTGCTTAACCCTGGGGCTCTCCATGGTCACGACCTTCACAAGTAGTGTTCCCTTAAACCGCTATCTTGAAAGTGGTTTGGGAACCTCAAGGTTTCCTGAGACTCCTTCAGAAGACGCATGAGGTCAGGCCTGTGTTCATAACACACATGTTCACCTTTCATTCTCGCAGACTTTCATGCGTGAACTGGTGTGGTTTTAGATTCCACACTACGACAAATTTCAAGAAAGTTCTGTCTGTCAAGTCTCATGCCCTGTCGAAGAAGAGTCACACAAGAAGACTGCTACAAGATGCCTCTCATTTCTCCAACTACATGCAACGTGTGTATCTATGAGGGATCTAGGTATGGCCCAACCCAAACATCCCATGACTGGAAATACAGCTCAGAGGTAAAGCAGTTGCCTGGCATGCCCAGGGCTCAGTGTTCAGTTCTTAGCATTTCCCACAGCCCCCCAAATCATCACAGATTGAAAGATTGAAATGCAGGCATCCAGGAATGTTATATCAAAGCAGACACTAAATAGATTTGCAAAATTTAAGACAGAAATACCGGTTTCACTGATTTTTATTATTAATAAAAATATTTTTTTTTCCAAGACGGGGTCTCTCTGTGTAACGCTGGTTGTTCTGGAACTCGCTCTGTAGACCAGGCTGGCCTCAAACTCAGAGATCCCCCTGCCTCTGCCTCCCCAGTGCGGAGTATTAAAGGCCTGGGCCACCACTGCCTAGCTTGATAAAATAAATTTTAATAAAATAGCTTATATCAACATAGTATGGATTTATTATTTTTTTTTTGTTAACCAATAATTTTTAAGTTCTTCACTTTAGTTCCTAGTGCAGTGAGTCATGATATTTATAGCCCACAAGAAGCTCTTTGAAATTCGCTAGTTATTTCCGAGTGTGTGAGGAAGATTCCTGAGGTCAAAAAGCTGGCGAGATCGTGCTCAGCCGGCAGACTGGTTAGTTTGGAGATGCCTGCACAGCTGCACACTGATTCCTCCAGATTACTGATCTTCTTATAACCTGTTCTCCAGCACCTCACTGCACACTCTTCAGGGAGGCTATTGATCTTATTGATTGTAAGCCTTCCACCCTATATCTGTGTCTGTCCGATAGAGTGATGGCCTACAAACGCTGACAGGAGGAATGGGTATATATGTGCAGTTTGTTTATGTATATTTGTATATGATGGGGGTATATGTGTGTGTATATGTTTGTGTATGTGTAGGTGAATGGGTGTGCATGTGTGTGTAGACCAGAGGTCAATGTTAGGTGTTGCTCCTCATGACTCCATCCACTTTCTTCCTTTGAGACAGTCTCTGACTCGCTGAGGCTGACCGAGTAGGTTAGACTGGCTAGCCATTGAGCCCGTGGACTCTCCAGTCTCCACCTCTCCACTACTGCACTTACTAGCCCACAATACTTTTTTAAACACAAGTTCTGGGGATCGAACCCATGACCTCATGCTTGCTCAGCAAGCACTTTAACAACTGTACCATCTCCCCAGCCCCATTTGTTACTGTGACTCTGATTTGAATACAGATATAAAAAGCACATGCAGGGGGTTGGAGAGATGGCTCAGGGGTAAAGAGCATTGCCTGCTCCTCCAAAGGTCCTGAGTTCAATTCCCAGCAACCACATGGTGGCTCACAACCATCTGTAATGAGATCTGGTGCCCTCTTCTGGCCTGCAGGCATACACACAGACAGAATATTGTATACATAATAAATAAAAAAATAAATTTTTAAAAAAAAATAAAAAGCACATGCACGGGGTTTTTACACTTTTTCTTTTCAGCCAGGCATGGTGGCACACTCTTAATCCCAGCACTCAGGAGGCAGAAGCAGGTGGATCTCTATGAAAATACGAGGCCAGCCTGGTCTACAGAGTGAGTTCAAGGAACAGCCAAGTCTGCATAGAGAATCTGTCTCCAAAAAACCAAATAATAATAGTAAAAATAATAAACCTAAAAGTTTCAAGCAAAAACTTAATCTAAGTAGGCTGGGCATGGTGGCACATGCCTTCGGTTCCAGCATTCAGGAGGTAGACACAGGCATATCTCTAGAGTTTGGGCCCAGCCTGGTCTACATAGAGAGTTGCCGACCAGAGACTGCTATAGACTGAGACCCTATCTCTAAAAAAATAAAATAACCTAAGAGACAATTTTGCTTCTACTCAAAGTTCAGAGAAACTCCTGTAAGCAAATAACCAGGGACTGCATCATGCTGAGAGACGCCACAAATGTGGCCAAAGTAACTTGTTCCGGGCCTGCAGTGTGGCCTGGACAGAGTTCTGAACATAGAAAGAAAAACAAACTCCCATAAAACACAAGATACCCTACTGTGAGGAGACGGTCACACCATTGGACTAAGGCCAGCCAACAAGTGTTGTGTCATCACCCTGGTTCCCTTCAAAGTGCCATCCAAAGCAGACTGCCACCCAGAACCCTGGCCAGAGTTGCCATGTTTGCTGCCCTCCTTTGTGAGCAAAGCCACCTTTCTGCAAGTCTGGGGACATCAGTGTGCCAGGCTCAGGGAGCAGAAAGGCAGCTACACACAGCATGTTGTGTCTGGGCCTCTCCCCTTTGTCCCTAACACGTTCCCCAGTAAACTGAGGAAGAGAGAGTGATGCTAGTTGTGGGGTGTCTTAGTAACTGTTCTATGGCTGTGAAGAGACACGGGGACCAAGGCAACTCTTATAAAATAAAGTGTCTAACTGGGGACTTGCTCAGAGTTTCAGAGGATTAGTCCCTGACCATCATGGTGGGGAGCATGACAATAGACAAGATGTCACTAGAGCAATAGCTTAATGTGATCCACCGCAAGAGGCAGAGAAAGAGAGCTAACTGGGAATGGTGTGGGCCTTTGAAACCTCAAAGCCTCCTCCAACAAGGGCATACTTCCTCCAACAAGGCCACACCCCATCCAACAAGGGCACACTTCCTCCAACAAGGGCACACTTCCTCCGACAAGGCCACCTGCTCCAACAAGGATACAACCCCTCCAACAAGGATTTACCTCCTAATCCTTCTAACCCTTCTCAAACAATTCACCAACTGGGGACTGAATGTGCACATGTATGAGCCAAAGGGGGCCCTTCTCATTCAAACCATCACATGGGGAACAACGCCTTTGGCAAAATAGGTGTGTACCTCTTGCCTCAGAAGTTTTAAAGTTACCAATTTATAGACTGGTGAGTGAGTGTGTGTGTGTGTGTGTGTGTGTGTGTGTGTGTGTGTGTGTGTGTATGAGAAACAGAAAGATAGACAGACTTGGAGTCAAGAGGAAAAAAAGAGAAGGCTATGCTTTTCCAGTTAATTCAGGGATGGCTCATCCCCAAACCAGCCTTTATCAAAAACTCCTTGTGGGGCTTCAGACACAGCTCCGCCTTGTCTGCAGTGTAGTGCTCCCCTATTATGTGAAAGGCTCTAGGTTCCATCCCCAACATCATAAGAAAATAAAATAAACTCAACTATGCATTCACGGACAGTGATGTAGGAAGCATCAAGAAACGTTCAGTTAAACATACACAGTGCTAATCATATAAATAACTTGACATTGTTTTTTGTTGTTGTTGATTTTTTTTTTTTTTTTTGGTTTTTCGAGACAGGGTTTCTCTGTGGCTTTGGAGCCTGTCCTGGAACTAGCTCTTGTAGACCAGGCTGGTCTCGAACTCACAGAGATCTGCCTGCCTCTGCCTCCCGAGTGCTGGGATTAAAGGCGTGCGCTACCACCGCCCGGCTGACATTGTTTTTTTTAACCCTTTAGCCAATGTGCTAAACACTTCCCAGCTTTTTTCAATGTATTCACAAGTCTTGTGTTTATGGCACTAAGAACCGGGACTCTCAGGAGACTAAAGTCAGGGTCACTGTTCAGTCAACTTCAGTATAGATTCTGCTTTATCAGAACAAGGTTCTTCAGTCCTGGCTGTAACTTGTGGTCCCCAGACAGCATCTGTCCAAAGGGCCCAGGTCTAACAGCTGCGCACAAGCTATAAAGGTAAAGAGTTTGGAGCGTATCATGCAGAATGGCGCTAATGCCAACGTTTACAGAAATTACGTCATCTACTCCCCTGAAAACGCTCCAAGACCAACGCTTCTGTGTCCATTTTACAGGCCAGGGAACTGAACCTCAGGGAGGCTACCTGGTAGGAAACAGCAACCAGCAACAGGGCTTAAATCAGGATCAGAAAGGTCACCCAGCAGGACTTGAATTCGGGTCCACGTCAAACTATGTTCTCGCTACATTGGCCAGCCTGCTTGCCAGACCAGACGATTTGTGGCATTTTCTCTCTGGAGAAAACAGGTTCGCTCAATAACCGAGACCTGTCATTTTCCAGTCCCCAAGTCTCTTCTTCTCTGCCATGCACGCTTCTTCCTACCACATCATACGATGGAATATGGACAGACGTATCCAGACAAGTTTAATACAGTTTTTCCCCATAATGTCCCTGTCCAGGTGAGTTCAGCAGGGACATTTTCAACGGAAAACCTTTTGCCCTGTGCACTGGAGCAAAATCATGATCCCACTGTAGACCCAAGGGTTTAAAGTAGAAGAAGTTTAGTTGTAATTTGAAAACCTGGATATTTTTCATCCCCAGTCCAGATGTGCCAATCACCCATGGGATTCCCCCAGTGCCCAGCACAGTCAGCAGAGGACCCAGAGGCAGGAGCCTCCCCAACCCAGGTCCTCTAGTCCAGGGCCTTCCCCGACCCACACCGCTGCCTGCTGCCGCGGGCGCCCCCCACTCACCCAGCAGCGCCGTCTGGGGATGTGTTCGGACATGGCGGCCTCTGGAGGGAAATCTGGCTTGCGGGCGATCTCTGGCTCCAGCCGGAAGGAGGAAGAACTGACCAAGCATCAGCAAGCATCCCAGCAGCATCTTCTCCATCTTCAAGAGGAGCAGGGGTGTGGCTGTAACACAACACAAGAGAGGCAAGTGAGATTTCTTGCAGAGCCAAGCTGCGAGCCTCCATGGGGGTGCAGGGAACCGAACCCTGGTCCTCTGCAGTGCTCTGGATTTCTGAGCCCTCTCTCCAGCCTTCCCCCTTCCTACTACTTACTTTCATAATTTCTTGATATTAATCACACGATTTGATATGATACTCTAAATGTGTGGTACCATCTATAAGTGATTTACTATTATTTTATCTTTCTGTGTCTGATTTGCTCCATGTAATAGAACGTCCTCCAGTTCAATCCATTTTGTCCCATAAATAAATAAAATCCGAAGTGAATTCAGGTTACCAGGCAAGCCTCTTTACCCACTGAGCCATCCCACCAGCTGTTCTGTTGTGATTCTTACCCTTCTGCATTTGAGCCAAAGCAATACAGATACATGTTGATCTATGGTTTTTAGAATTTGCTTTTTGAGACAGGGTCTCACTGTATAATTCCAGCTGGCCTCTAACTCACAGGTATCCTTCTGCCTCTGCCTCTCAAGTGCTGGGAAGAAAGGAATGTACCTCCACGCCTGGTGTAGCTCTAAGATTAAAATGGTTTAAACACAACTTTACTAAACCAGCACAATTCCTAACTATACTCTAAATTTTTATTCTTATATTCACAAATAAGTATGGTTCGCACCCTGTACCAAAGAAACTTGTCTTGCAACAGAGACCACTACAGAAAACCACAACTAAGAGATCAAGAGCTGTGTGGCGGCCAATCCCAGCCGGCACACGTATAATGTATGTTTGCACAGCAGGCTCAGGAGTCACTGTGGAAGACTGGGTGAAAAGATGGTAAAAGTCAGAAAGACAAGAAGGTCGCCATGCGACTGCTAAAAGTGCTGCTAGAGACAGCACCCATGACATGTCACAGCTTCCTAAACAAAACCTGAACCCCACCAACAGTGGGCATGCTAACAAGACCACAAAGACCAACGAGCAACTGTGAAATGCTGAGAGTGAGAAATGGCCTTCCTCAGGGAAGAGCCTCCCCATTCCCGTTGGAAACCTCATTTTGTTGGTAAAAATGCAAGGTGTGTCCCTTTAGAACATAATTTGGCAGCTTCTCATAAAGTCACACCTCACCAACATACCACAGCACAAGATGGCCCATTGTCTCTATTTACCCATGCTTTCAGGGAACTCCCATCCCCTGGAAAAATCCAGGAAAATCCAGTGTATTGTCTGTCAGCCCAGATCCTGGATATGCAAACACAAGAGCGTGCATCCACACAATAACTATTTCTTGGATGCTTATGGAGGCTGCATTTTTAAAAACTGAACACTGGAAACAGTCCAACCACTAGCAGCTGATGAATGGGGAACAAATTATGGGACATCCGTACAATGGACTCCCACTAAGTTATCAGAGGAGGGATCTGCTAGATGAGTCCCAGAATCACACCAAATGAAAGCAACCAAACACAAAAACACTATGTTCTGAATTCTTCTGATTATATGAAATTCAACAAAAGGCAAAATTACATGGCAGGAAGCAGATCAATGGTTCTAGAAGATTGAGGTTAAAAGAAGAAAAAAAAAAAAGAAGAAGGAACCAGCTGTGGAGGGGCCAAAGGGAACCTAGGAGGTTATGGTTACATCATGGTTATGGTGGAGTGATGCATTTGCTGAAATTTATCAAGTCAAACCCTTTAAAATTAATGAATTGTACTGTAAGTTAAACTTTAAAAAGCCATTAAAAAAATAAAGGAATGGCATCAAAGAGCTGAAGGAAGGAGTTGTGGAACGCTGTCTTCTGGGCAGGGCACAGCTGTGGCATTTGGGAAATGTCAGAAGCTGTGGTTACCTATACAAGACCTGCACGAGGTTTGGTGGGCCTGTTAATGTTCCCCCGTGGAGGGGAGACCAGGTTCCAGGCCTTGTCCCCACTGAGGATCTCTAGGTAGCTATGGTTACTAGCAGAGGGGGAGACTTTTTTCTAGTGGTGCAATCATGGTAAGCTGCCCATATTCCTGTATGCACCATTAGAACCCACAATACAGCCGAGAGAGAAAGAGAGAGAGAAAGAGAGAGAGAGAGAGAGAGAGAGAGAGAGAGAAGAAGGGGGAGAGGGAGAACCATGAAGGCCAGTGAGATGGATCAGAAAATACAAGTGCTTGCTCTCAAGCCTGGAGATCTGGTCAGGAAGAACCGACTTTACAAGGCTCCCCTCCATGTCTGTGTGAACCCCATTAAAGACTTTAAGACCTGAGAGTAGAAGAGGAATTAGTAGGAAGAGGAAGGGAACAAGCAGGAAGGGAACAAGAGAGCAATGGGGGCAAATGTGGTCCAAAAATATCGGATATGTGTATGAAAAGTCTTAGTGAACTCATTAGCATCCATAATTAATATGTGCTAATAAAACAGAAAGAATACTCCATACATACACAATAATGGTATTATTAGTATCAGACAATGCAGTTTTTTATACAAAAAGCTGACTCCTGTCCTCAGGTCAATGGTTCTTGGTTTGGCATTTATAGCTGTTGGCCTCTGAAGACGATGCATCATCTCTGAATGGAAAATGAAGTGGCTTCTGAGGACAGTCCTTTCAACTCCGGGCAAACGAGAACGGCTGTGTGGGAAATAGAGGCCCATTCGCTCTGAGCCGCTTCAGTGACATCAGGGAGCACAGAAAGAATGTTTTTGAAATCATACAAGCGCTTTGACTTTTGTTTTAGCCCTTTTCTCCTGTCCATGAAACAATGAGTTCTTTCATGTGGCTCTCCTAAGAAGCTGGGGCAGAGGAAAAAGGCCACCGAGAGCTGAGGTTCTTCTGATCTCACCATTCCGGCTCACCAGGCAAGAGGGATCTCTCTGGAGCCACAAGCACTTGCTGGGGCCTTGGGCTGAGAGATCTGCCTCCTGATCTTGTGTGTTATAACCCCCTGGGCTTTAATTACCCATAAGAGGCAAGACATGAAAGTGGTGTCTCTATCTAAACAAGACCCAGAGAATCCTGCTATACTGAAGAAATCTACAGGCAAAGTTAATCCCCATTCACATAAAAAAAGGAAGTGGGGACCTGGGAAAATGTCTCAGTGGGTAAAGGCACTCACTGTCAAACCTGACAATCTGAGCTCTAACCCCAAGACCCAAGTGGTAGAAGGGAATCAACTCCCACAAGTTGTCCTCTCACCCCCACATCTGTGCGTACATACACACACATACATACACACACACAATCAGACATACATGCATATACACACATACATACATACACACACAACTACCTAAATACATACAAATACATACATACACACATACATACAAACACACTAATACATGCACACACTAATACATACATACAAATACATGCACACATAAATACATACAGACACACAAATATACATATACAAAAATACAGGCATATATATATATATATATATATATATATAAAATTTTCTAATGTAATTAAGAAAAGAAGTGGGAAGGGGAGTGTTGATTTCGTGCCTATGTCAGGCCAGGCAGGGAGCCCGACATTTTGCAAATTGCCATCTCATTTGTTCCCCACCACCATCCTGCAAAGTAGGTAAGATCTGTGGGAGGGGGATCATTAAGGTTTACAGAAGGAGACCCTCCAAAGACTCAGAGCTAATTAACTGGTATAAACCAAGAAGACTCTACTCCTGCCACCTCTCAGGCAGCTAGAGCAAGGCAGAGAAACATCAGGTCAGCAGCTCTGTCCCCCACAGATGTGGGTCAGCATGCGCCAATACATAACTCTGCATTCACAGACAGCCAGGCAAAGCCGAGAATGAATCTCAGAGGCAGGCCCCTTCTGTCTTCCTTCCTCCTATCTTCAGAACTGCCATCTCCTGCTTGGCCAGCAGGTAGGAAGCAAATGTATGCCAGGACACAAGGCACCCGTGGCACAGAGGAACTAGAAATTTTAGAGCCTGCTTTATTATGACCTGACATGACCGTCTGTGACTCCTATCCAACTCAGCTTGTCCAGACTCCAGCTCAGCACCTCCCTCTTGAGCCTTCCAAGGCCAAAGTCACCCTAGTCCTCCACACCAAGACCAGTAACTGCAAACCCGTTTCCACCCGCCCTCTGCATCCTGGCTGCATTCCTTTTCCTGTCTCTGCTTCCTTTCTGCTTCCTCGCTGCTTCCATGGCTGCAGCCACTTTTGCAGCCCAGGTGCTGCCAAATGCCCTGTGTGCAGCTCCTTTGCCTGCTTGCGGTCTGTTGATGGCCTCACTGAATAAATGCTAGATTCACACCCCTCCACGCTGACCACTGGCCATCTCTCCAATAAGGATGTCCTCACATTTACCCTAAGCTCACAATGGAGTCTGAAGTACTGAGACTGCTTTGCAATGGGTGCCTTTGACCTCCAAGGCCTACGTTCTTATTAATCAAGATGGTATTCAGCTCTCTATGTTTGACTCATGGGTCACCAGGCAGTAAAATGTCCTCAGGTTTTTACAAGGATTGACCTCCAAACACCACAGATGGGCTTGTCGGCTGTCAGTACTTTATTATTTATTATTTATTCTTCTTGCTACCATGAATCTCTTCCTACATAGACATGAGCTACCATTTTGGACGATATCCTGTCATCTATATCCCCCACCTGCTGGCTTCCAAATTTTATAGATAGGTTGGTAGATAAGCAATGTGTTGGATAAGTGACTATTTAATAAAAGATCAACAAATGTCAAAACAAACTAGTTGCCCAAGTCCATGTCTTTCCTTATTACATTGGTCAGATATAGACATGCAGACAACCCTCATAGAAGGTTCTCATTTTCCTAATAGCAGGATCCTCACCTGCAATTTCCTTTTATGCTGTGGGACAATGGTCTTATACCCTGTAAAGATTTGTCACTTGTCCTGGTTTAATAAAATGCTGATTGGCCAGTAGCCAGACAGGAAGTATAGGTGGGGCAAACAAAACAGGAGGATTCTGGGAAGAAAGAAGGCTCAGTCTACAGTCATCACCCAGACACAGAGAAAA